GGCCCAATTCCAATGTGGGTCAGAAGTTTTCAGACTTTCTCCTTAGGTCTGGAATCTTCTAAGAATGATTTTGGCCTCAGGAACTTGGGTGTTGGACTGACCTGAGATCCTGCCCGTGGCCATGCCACGCAGGGATGCAAAGGCAGATGGGGAGGGGAAGAAGCCCCAAGATTTCCCAGGGAGTGGATTAAGTAGCTGGGTTGTACTGGATGCAAAGGATCAGGGAGAGGAAAGGTAAGCCTTGGATCCCCAGAAAGAGGCTGACAGCCCCAGCAAGATGCTCCAGGTGTTGCAGGACCAGGGAAGTAGAGGGAGGTGAGGGCGGGGCCAGGTCCAAGCGGTGCCCCTGGGGCCCAAGAAAGGCACTGTTGGTCTGGGTGAGAAGGGTCAGGAAGCAGTATTGGTTCCCCCGGTGTCTGGGGCCCCAAGTCTAGGGATGGTGCAGGTCCCAAACTAGGAGTAGAGAACAGCGGGGGAGATGGAAGGGTGAATGTGGCTTGGGAGTCAAGGCGCGGAGGGCTGCGCTATAGACTTACCCCAAGAGGCCTGAGGATAGGAGTGCAGGCTAGTAGAGTTAGCCGGTGGTGCAGGTCCAGCGACGCAGAGAGAAGTGAGGGCGCAGAGAGAAGTGAGGGCGAGGCTAGGACCAGAAGCGGTGCTCCCCAAGAGGCCTGAGGATAGGAGTGCACTTATCTCCCATTTTTATAACCAAACAGAAATCCATGAATTTATATCTGTTATGTGAATGCTCAAATCATAAGTAGACTGGGGGAGCAGAAAGGAGAAAACTTGCAGTGTCTAATAACAAGCTTCAGTAGCCCAGATTTCACGGTTACATAGTTTATGTAAGAGCAGGTAAAGGTGCTTACTGTGCAAGCCTGGTGACAAGTTTGATCTGTGGAACTCATGAAAGGTGGAAGGGGAGAACTGACTCCAAAGTGGTCCTCTGACCTTTACATACACAATGTGTTGCATATACTACCCACACCACAATCCTGCACACAAACATATAGTAATAAAATTTTAAATAGCCAGAATGCCAAGCCTGTATCATAGGAAAAATTTAAGTCCATCTAAGTGGAAATATACCATTTCAGTTTTAGAGTAGAGGTGGGGACAAATAACAGTGACAGATTAGATGGTATCCTATTCTGCTTCTATAATGCAAGAGTTATGGGTGTTACATGTTCATTCAGTGAGCAGTAGGTATCACACTAGTTGCTAAAAATACATTTATGAGAGACAGTCATGTACTGTATTCCCACCAAGCAATAAACAAGTGATTGATTGGAACCTATGCAAACAGTACCATCACAGGAGAAATAATTATTAGGAAACACTTAGGATGGAACTTTACATATAAACAAGGGTAGTAAAGAGAAGCATCTTGGAAGAAATACTCTCTAATCAGTGTCCTAAATATATTGAAAATGACAGGTGGAAGTTATTTAGGTGAGTGGGGCAATTTTTAAGACAATGTTTAAGGCTTAGAAAGTCAAGCTATTGAAAGTAACTGGTTAAGTGGGCACTAGGTTATAAGGGCCTTTAGGTAATACCTGGGACATCTGCTATCAGCCTCAGGTCAGAAGGGAACAGTAAAAGTTGTGCTTTTATTAAAGAAGACTTTAAGCCCACAAAGAAGAATAGAATGAACCATGAATCCTTAACTACACAAGCCACAGTTTCAATGATTACCAACTCATAGTCTCACTGAGACCACTTCCTCTATCCCCAGTGGATAAATTTGATGCACCTTTATGCTATAGTATTGTTATTGAAGATTTTTAACCGGAGAGTGACATGACCAATTTTTCATTTTATACATCAAACATTCTTAGTAATTCCAACTTTTAAAATGCATACATCATAGTTCAGTGTTTCTCATTTAGTTTGAGTTTAAACATAGAAGAAGCTTGGCTTCTATACCTATAAAAATGTGGTAACATAAAAGTCAACAGGCGGATCTCTGTTGAGTTCAAGGCCAGCCTGGTCTACATAGTGAGTTCCAGGACAGCTGGGGCTACAGGGAGACCCTGTCTCAAAAAGACCAAAAAAAAAAAAAATCAATTTCTAGGATTCAACCCTCAATAGCAAATCTACTAGTGTGTGGAAAGTGGAATTAGATGTGTAATTGTATGTATTTTATAGCTCCTTTTGTCAGCTTGGGTTTTATTTATCTGTGTATTAAAATTTACTAACTGAATTTTACTTTGATGGTAAGAAATTCTACAGAATTGCTTTTATTTTAAAGTTATCTAAAGCTGCTTACAGATCACAAAATTTAAAAAGTCTCGTAATTAGAGTATTTAGTATTTTAGTTTAGCTTTTTCCCCCTTGAAAGTAGTTTAGTCATTGGTAACTACTGTAATACTCATTGTTCTAGTTTGTTTTCCATTGCTGTGACAAAAGACTCTGACCAATACCAACTTGGAGAGGAAAGGGTTTGTTCAGCTGATATCTATCTCCCTGGTCACATTTCATTGCTGGGGGAGCCCGAGTAGGAACTCAGGGCAGGACCCTGGAAGCAGGATCTGGAGCACAGGCCATGGAGGAATGCTGCTTACTGGCTTGCTCCCCTGGCCCATGCTCAGCCTGCCTGCCTTATACAGTACAGACCAACCTGCTCAGGGGTGGCACCCATATCACTCAACAATCAAGAGAGTTCTCCACAGAGATGGTCACAGGCCAGTCCAATGAAGGCAGTTCCCCAACTGAGGCTCCCTCTGCCCAGACGTATCAAGTTGACATCTAAAGCCATCCAGAACACTTTGGAATAACAGTGCATTCATTTATTCATTTTGGGAGAATCCATGATCTGAATTTAAATTAGGTATTGGCAAATTTTGAATGATTCTTAACATTTTAAAGTTTTCTAAAGGAAGAATTTATAACAGAAACTATATGTAATCTACAAAAGTAAAATATTTACTCACTGGCCTCTTAAGAAAGTTTTCCAATCTCATCTATATAATTTAAATTCTTGGCACATGCCTTTTTTCTTTTCAAAATATTTTTATAATATTTGTTTTATAATTAACATTAGAAATTTAAATTTTTCATTGTTTTTTACAGAGAAGATGGTGAATTAGAAGATGGTGAAATAGATGATGCAGGATTTGAAGAAACTCAACCAGATCAGGAATCAAAAGAGAATGAAAAGCAGAAAAGTGAAAAAGCCTACAAAAAATCAAGAAAAAAACACAAGAAAGAAAGAGAAAAGAAAAAATCCAAAAGGAGAAAGCATGAGAAGCACAAAGTTAGTTACATTAGAATCAACTTTCTGTTCTTTTGTTGTTGTTTGTTTATTTGAGATAATATGTCTCATAGCCTAGGCTGGCCTTGAACTCATTATATAACCAAGAATGGTCTTGAACTCCTGATCCTCCTGGGTGCTGGGATTATAGGCCTGGTCCAGAATGCCTGGCAAACTTTCTGTTTTGGTAAGTATAAAATAACAAAAATTAGGGGCTGGAGAAATGGCTCAGCAGTTAAGAACACTGACTGTTCTTGCAGAAGACCCGGGTTCGTATCCCAGCACCCACATGGCAGCTAACAACTGTCCATAACTCCAGTTCCAGGGGATCTGACAGCCTCTTCTGTCCTCTGTGGGCATTGCATGACACGGTATACTTACCTATGTGCAGGCATAACACTCATACACATAAAATAAAAATAATAAAATATTTTTTAAATTAACAAAAGTTAGAAAGTATGTTATTACTATTATCTTATAAAATATACAGATTAGATATTTTTACTTAAGCAACTAATAAATTTTCTAACTATAAAGAGTATATGAATTTTCTCATAGATTTAATAAAAATAAGGTAAATCCCAATGCAGGCTATAATAATAATCTTCTATGGATAGAAGGTTGTTTTGGAAGATGTGAGAAGTTTAAAGTTTCATTCTCTACAGATACAGATTAGTATCTGTAGAGATACTGTCTACGTGTTTATCTTTTTATTTGCTCATTCATATCTATTATCCCATGATAACTGTGGAAGCCTCTGTGTTACATATTAGGGATTATAGTGGTAAAGGAACATTAAAGAATGCAGGGAACCTGGAAGAGGAAAGGCAGTAAACAAATGAAAAACAGTTACTATCAAGAAAACAACAGGGAGTTTGATACGGAATAATGTGAATTTGAGGTGGAGAAGGAAAGGGAACTTGTGACTGAGAAATCAGGGAAAAGTTGGCAGTAGCAGTAGGACAGTTTTTTAAAAAACCCTGGAGTTAGCCAGGCATGGTGGCACATGCTTTTAGTCCTAGCACTCAGGAAGCAGAGGCAGGTGGATCTTCAAGGCCAGCCTGGTCTACATAGTGAGTTCAGGCCAGCTGGGGATACAGGGAGACTCTTCTCTCAAAGAGACCCCCCCCCCCAAAAAAAGCCCTGAAGATCCCCTATAGCAATTAGGATAGCAAAACCAAAATTTCAGTGACAGCATCTAAAGAAAACTGAAATTATTCTTGCATACTTCAGAAGTAGAATAAGTGGTTCCACACTATAGACAGCAACAGAAGAATGTAGAACCAGCAGTTCTGTAGAATGAAGCAGAAGAAGGATAAAGGGAACTGTGGGAAACAGATTAACAGCAGATACTCCTCTCAGTGGAGGGCCCTACTCAACATGGAACTCTTAGGCCTATTTGAGAAGTGCAACAAAAACTGAGCAGAGGTTTTACTAGTTCTGGTTTACACTTGAATATAAGGTAACCACAGAAAGTGGATGGTGCTGGATATAATGAACTTCTTGTGCTAATTTCCCATCCCTTTTCTAGGACAGAGCATCACATGGGGGAGGAAACTGCTGAGAGTGGAGTCTGAAATAAACAGGCATACTCGGGCCAAGGGAGGAAGTGATCTGATAGAAAATGGGGAAGAATGAAGAAGAGGCTTGTCTTGGAAGTTGCTCAGCCTCGTTTTTAAATACTTCACACTGAAACAGAAGGGATGAAGCTAGAATTTTCCTGTTCTGTTTCATCCTTTTCTTCACATGAGTGTCAAGAAAGAACTAAGTGACTGCATATAAAAGAAAACAATGTAATAATATTCCCCTGGAAAAGAATGTCCATGAGCGTATGAAAAACTTAACCTAATATTTCAAAATGACAAAAAAAAAAAACCCTTAGTAAAATAATGCAGACTATGATCAAACAGAAATTGAATTGGGAAAGCCAAATCCCTTTCTAAGAAAAGAAAAATAGGGGCTGGAGAGGTGGCTCAGCGGTTAAGAACACTGGTTGTTCTTGCAGAAGACCCAGGTTTGAATCCCAGCACCCACATGGCAGCTAGTCACTGCCCGTAACTCCAGTTCCAGGGGATCCGACAGCCTCTTCTGACCTCCATGGGCATTGCACGACATGGGCGCACTTACCTACATGAAGGCAGTACAAGCATACATATAAAATAAGAATGATAAATAAAATTTTAAAAAAAGAACAGAAAAGATTTATATGAAAATTTATATAAAAATTCCAACAAATTGTATGCAAGAACCCAGGAACGATTTTACTTTTTGTAAAATCTACTAGAAAACATGTCCAAACAACCAAAATTACTGGGGTGTGAGAAAGTGATTTACATGCACATATACATACTCATTTATAAGACTAAGACTAAATGATGATTCTAGAAGAGGTAGTATATGTTATATGTGTTAGAATATTACCATAAAAAGATTTTCAGGAAAAGCCAGGTTGGGCCTGGATAGATGACTCAGTGGTTAAAAGCACTGGTTGCCCTTGTAGAGCACTGTATGCTTGTAGTGTCCTTACATATATGCAGGCAAAGCATTCATACACATAAAAATTTTAAATATATTTTTTAAAAAGCCAGGCATAGGGGTGTATACCTGTAACCCCAGTACCTGGGAGGCCGAAACAGGAGAATCATGATTTCAAGGTCATCTTTGGTTGTATAGCAAGGCCTTGTCTAAAGAAAAGGTCAGGAAAATTTTCGTATTGACTTAAAGTTATTAACAGAGTAGAAGGATGTGAAAAGGAAAAGGAACAGTGGTTTCTGCTTAATTTCAATATTGCTTCTATTAATGAATGCTAGGTAAATTTAGCATTGAGGTTAGTGGATAAGGGCAGTATGAAAGACGTTGTTGAAATAAAAATAGAAGCGTTTTCTAAATGTCAGGAAATACACTCCTTAGCTTTAAGCTTTGAATGCAGGAAATACATAACAAATGTAAAGCTGTATATTTAGCAAACACAGTGAGAAGGGAGAAATCACATTATTGCTATTTGGGAAAGTTAGGTCTACAGGTCATGGAAAGAAATAAAGGCAGCACTTTATAAGGTTAAAAGTTGCACTTCAGGCTAGAGAGATGTATTAGCAATGAAGAGCACTGAATGCTTTTGCAGAGGACCCAGGTTTGATTCCCAGCACCCAAGTGGTGGCTAACAACCATCCATAATCCCAGTTCAGGGGATCCAGTGCCTTTTTCTGACCTATGTGAGCATTGCATGACATGGGTGCACTTACATACATGCAGGCAATACATTCATATACATAAAATATAAATAAATAAATTTTCTTTTGGTCTTTTTGAGACAGCATCTCCCTGTAGCCCCGGCTGGCCTGGAACTCACTATGTAGACCAGGCTGGCCTCGAACTCACAGAGATTAAAGGCGTGTGCCCTCCCAGCACTTGGGAGGCCAGCCTGGTCTACATAGTGAGTTCCAGGCCAGCCGGGGCTACAGGGAGACCTGTCTCAAAAAAGACAAAAAAAAAAGTTGTAATTCATGAGCTGGGTTTTGTGGTGCATGCCTTCAATTCCAGCACTCTTGGGGCAGAGGCAGGTAGATCTCTATGCAATTGAGGCCAGCCTGGTCTACATAGGGAGTTCCAGGCCAGTTGGAGCTACAGGGAGACCCTGTCTCAAAAAGAAAGGTTATAATTCACAGTGAAGATATACATTATAAATGTTTTCTATCCCTCAAAGTACCAGGTGCCATAAAGCAGGACTTGGGAGACTGAAGAAGAAACAGAGGAGAGTAGTAATCAGAGATAGAGCAGTGTATCTCCCCTATATCTGAAGCATTTGATAGCATAATTAATTATAAAAGCTTTCTTCATAATCCCCTATCAAGTCAACAAAACCAGGACTAATACCAACAAAAAACCAGAAGCCTGAACACTTAGGACCAAAGTGAAGGGAAGCAGTTTTTCTTCCCTGAAAAACATTAAAGAATGGAATGAAGGAAAACGGATCCTCTCCAAGAATATTAAAGTTCAGTTTAATTCAATAGAATTTTATTGAGTTTGTGCTGTGCTTAGGTGCTGAGAATGTAAGGCTAGCACTATTCAGAGCCAGTGTCTTCATTGCTGAGGAAACAGAACTGTTTCAAGTGCTCAGCTTAGGAAGGTAATTATTTTGAGCAGACAAAAAAGACTTGTTCATTTTCCAAAATCGTACTGAGATTTTTAAAAAAGCTTACTCTTGATAATTGCCCATTATCAACTACTTGGGGTTTTCATTTCATTTTTATTCAATTTTGTGGACTGGTTTCATTTCATTAAGGTAATTTAGAGTAGTTTCAGGATACCCATGCAATAGAAAAATAACTCCACAGAAATTTTTGATAAAATTAAATTAATGCATACCCTACTTATATTCTAGGATCCCTTCTGGTAATGAGCCAATTTTATTTCCTTTAAGATTAGCTTAAACTGAGCATGATAGCACATATGTAATCCCACATCTGGGGAGGCTGAGGCAGAAAGGTCAAGAATTCAAGACCAGCCAACGTTGCATACCGAGACCCTGTCTTAATAAATGCATGAGCACTGTAGATACAAGATCACTTTAGAGGCCAAGTGTCTTCTGTTTCCCTTGGGTCAAGAAGATGATGAGAAACATGCTGCTGTAAAGTCCCTGAGCAAACCGGAGGAAATACTTTTGCTTGGAAGTGATAATAGTCTTTGGAGCAAGAATTTCTCAATGTTACTCAAGAGTCTACTGGAGTAATACAGCCTACTGATTGTCACCTCTGACTGAAACAAGCTTATAAAATTACACATTAAGTTTCCTTCTTGCAAATGTAACACATTTTTCCCCCTTTGCAGCATAACTCTCCATCTGGTGAAGATAATTCAGACCACAGCCTTGATTCAGATGTCGAACATACAGAAAGTTCCTATAAAAGAAGAACTAGTTTCTACAGGGATTATGACATTCCATTTTCTCAGGTAAAATGTGATAAAACACGTATAGCATAAAATATACCATTTGGGGGCTAGAGAGATGACTCAGTGATTAAAAGCATTAACTGTTCTTGCACTACCAGCTGTTAACTCCAGTTCTGGGGGATCTGATGCCCTCTTCTGGCCTCTGTGGGCGTTGCATGACATGGTGCACTTACATAAGTGCAGGCAATACAAAATAAAAATAAATTTAAAATACATATCATTTAGCCTCATTTAAGTATATAATTTAGTAGCATTAAGTATATTTAGTGTTTAAACAGTACCATTATCCATCTCAAGAATTTATGTATCTTAAACAGAAATCCTGTACCTATTAAGCAGTTAACACTTTTTTTCTTGCTCCTCACTCCTATTAACAACTATTCTTGCTTCCTCTGTGTGTGTGTGTATCTACATATATAGTTATAATTCCTATGTTTGAAATTATATAATTGTCTTTTTGTGTTTGGTTTACTGTCACTTAGCAGGGTTCACCCATGTTGTAACATGTATTAAGATTAGCTAGACTTAGTGGCACATGCCTTTGATCCCAGCACTCGGGAGGCAGAGGCAGGTAGATCTCTGGGGGATCCAGGCCAAACTGGTCTACATTGTGAGTTCCAGTCCAGCTGGGGCCACTAAGTGTTGACTATGATATTCATGTGAGTTTGAGGTAGTACTTTTTAAAGGGGAAAATGAAACTTTAGATTGCATAATTTTTAGAAACACCAGAAAGTATGTGTTTGTCATACCAGCATATGCTTGTGCTGTGTATTCCCCAGCCTTTGAAGATAAAGAGTGCGTTCTATACTAAGTTAACTGGGGCTGCTGTTTATGGCAAGGTTGTATGCTTAAATACAGTAATTTCTCAATCTGAAGGCTAGATGTCCAGGATCAATGTGTGAGCAGGAAGCTGGATGTAGTAGTGCATGCCTTTATTCCAGCCCCCGGGAGGCAAAGACAGGCGAATCTCTGTGAGACTGAGGCCAGCCTGGTTGAAATTTTGTGTTCCAGGCCAGCTGAAGCTACAGGGAGATTCTGTCTTTAAAAAAAAAAAAAAGCAGGGCGTGGTAGAGCATGCCTTTAGTCCCAGCAGAGGCAGAGCAGGCAGATCTCTGTGAATTCAAGGCCAGCCTGATCTACATAGTGAGTTCCAGGCTAGCTGGGGCTACAGAGATCCTGTCTCAAAAAGACCAAAAAAACAAAACCCAGCAGAAGCCAGCACGGTTGGTTTCCCCTGGGAGCTGTGTGGAAGAGTGAGTACTAGGCCCCTCTCTTTTGGTTTATAGATGGAAACTTTTCACTGCTTTGTCCTCACATGGTTGTGCTTCTGTGAACAGGAACCCCTGGTTTCTCTGTATGTCCAGATTTCTCTTTTTACAAGAACACCAGTTAATTTTGTTAGAGCCCATTTTAAAGGTTCTGTCTCCAAATGCAGTTACATTCTGAGCTACTTGGCTTCCATACAGGAATTCTGGAGGGATACAGTCTAACCTCTGCAGCACACCACAACACTTTATCCAAGCGTGATTTGGAAATGAAGTAGTATTGAATTTTGAAGCTCTGTGACATTGGCCTCTTTAAGTGCAGAAATGCCTTGGAATGTTTTAAAACAAAACAGTGGTGAGCACTTTGCTAGCATGCTCAAGGCTCTGGTTTCTATTTCCAGTCTTAGAAAAGAAAAAAAATGACTGTAAGGCAACACTTCCTTCTTTCTTAAGTATGTGTACTGTATGAATGAAATCCTCATCAAAAATACTAATTATTCTTACAATAGGAAAGTAATGTTGCTAATAATCTTATCTACAAGATCTTTATTCCTTCTTTTTGATATTACTAATCTTTTGTGAGTTTAGAAAGCAAATTAGTCTATTTGAGTTTATTATGTGGTCTCTCTATTGTCTTTTGTATTTTTCTCTGTGTGTGTATGCATGAATGTGTTTGTATGTATCTGTGCATTTGTATATGTGTGTGGCGACCAGAAGACAGCCTTAGCTGGCATTTCTCAGGCACTATCCATCTTGTTTTTGTTTTGTTTTGTTTTTTTCTTGAGGTGGGGTTTCAGTAGGTAGCCCTGGCTGGTCTTGAACTCACAGAAAGTGCTTGGACTAAAGACATCTGCCACTACACCTATGCTGCCTTGTTTTTTGAGACAAGATGTCTTATTGGTTTGTTACTGATCAGGTAGTCTAGGATAGCTTGCTGAATCGAAAGAATCAACTTGTTGCTGTCTCCTCAGCACTAGGGTTACAAGTGTTATACCACCATGCCCAGCATTTTATTTGAGTTTGGCAGGATTGTCTTCTTTTATAGCACTAACTATAATTAATAATTTTATCTAACTAGACAAATGTTAGCATGCATATCACATTTAAAGTGCAGTAAACTAGTAACAAGGTATGGTCTGAAAATGAGCATGGTGGCACATGCCTTTAATCCCAGCACTTGGGAGACAGAGACAGGTAGATCTCTGTGAGTTCAAGGCCAGCTAGGTCTAATAGTGAATTCCAGGCCAGCTGGTGCTACAGGAGACCCTGTCCCAAAAAGACCAAAAAAACCCCCAAAAAACAAAACAGAACAAAACCAGGGAATGGCCTGTACATTTCTAGTTTCTCCAGTCATAATTATATGGAATATTTTCTTATTTAATTAATGATTGATAGAAGATATGATAGAACTAATAAAAGTATTTCAGTGAAAAAGATTAACATGGGGGCTGGAGAGATGGTTCATTGGTTAAGAGTACTGACTGCTCTTAAAGAAGACCTGGGTTTGGAATCCAGCACCCACATGGTGGCTAACAACCATCCATAACGCCAGTTCCAGGGGATCCAACACCTTTTTCTGACCTCTGCAAGCATTGCATGACATGGGTTCACTTACATACATGCAGGCAATACATTTATACACATAAAATAAAAGTAATTGAAAAAAGAGATTAACATGAATACCATCATTAAATAAACTTCTAGGACTAAATTATACTTTGTTTTCCCATGCTTTAGTAAGGAGGCAATAAAATTAATGTCTATTATAAAGTTTTTTAAATTTAAAACATTTATTTAATAACCACATATTTAGTAGAAACATTTTATTACAACAGCATTGACATATTCAATAACAGTTTCCAGAGTGAAGATGCCTCTCTTTCAAAATTGGCTATAATTTTTAGGTTCACAGTGTTAAATTAATACAGTTATACATTATTGTATTCAGTATAAACCCTATAATACATAAAATTGAATGAGGTTTTAAAAAAAGATCCCCATTTCATTTTTTAAAATTTTATTTATTGTTTTTATTTTATGCGCATGAGTGTATTGCTTGCATGTATGTGAGTGCACCCGTGTTGTCCAGTGCTGCGGAGGTCAGAAGAGGGCTTCGGATTCCCTTGGAACTGGAGTTAAGGATAATTCATAGCCGCCATGTGGGTGCTGGGAATCGAACCCAGGTCCTCTACAAGAGCAGTCAGTGCTCTTAACCACTGAGCCATCTTTCCAGCCCCTGATTTCATTTTAAAATATACTGTTTCATACAAAAAAGCTTATTTTTAATGCAACTAACACTTAGATGTTTGCACATGCATCTCTAAGCTCTATATATCTGATTATTACTAGTCACAGTTGGTTACTTTCTGAGATCCTTGGCACCTGAGCATGGATATAAAGTCATGAGGTAGATTTCAATGGTAATGTTTTTCACATCTACTAATTAACATGAAGAAAATTTTTATGCTTCTTCCACAAATATAACTCATTTTTTATTGATTTGATTTTTTTTTGTGTGTATTTCATACAGAACATCCTAAACAATCTTATTCATCTTTATACCCGCATCCCAAATGTCACCTACTATAGCCTCCCCCTCACTGGAGCCCATATACTCTGTCATCCCTGTTACTGTCCACTATGTTGTCAGCACCCTCAGCTGTTCCCCAGTGCTAGTCCATCCGCTGACTCTAGTCAGCCTATCTATAGTTCTTTGTTTTAGGAGGATCAGCTCTTCCTTATCTAGTAGCAATCAGTTGCTAACATGCCTTTAGATAAGATTGGGGTCTGCTGTTCATTTTCCCAGTTCTCTGCTGGGTTACTGTCTCTTGAGTCTCTTGGGCCACCCTGGCCAACAACTCAAAGGAAGGTATCTCCTGTCTGTCATTGTTTCTTGTTATGTAGCCTTTAGCTGTACACATGGACTCTTAAAGAATTATACTGATCCCTTTAATCTTTGGTTATACTTTCCTTTTGGGTGTTCAAGACCATGCAGTTGGCCCAAATAAACCAATTTATTTATTTATTTTATTTATTTATTTTTGAAGCAGGGTCTCCCTGTGGCCCCAGCTGTCCTGGAACTCACTATGTAGACCAGGCTGGCCTTGAACTCAGAGAGATCCGCCTGCCTCTGCCTCCCAAGTGCTGGGACTACAGGTGTGTGCCACCACACCCTGTAGTTTTTTTTACTCTTAAGGTCATTTGAGGATCTGTTCCTCAGGGGTCACATGGGCTTGGGAGGAGCCCCTAGCTCCTTTCTTTTACCAGTTTCATCTATGTGAAGATAAGTCAAAGGTCCTGCTCGACCATATGTCTAGTCAAGGTTTATCTGAGAACGTTTATTTTTTAAATAAATAATTTATTGAGAATTTCATACATGTATATAAGGTGTTTTGATCAAATCCATGTCCACCTCCTCCCCTCCAGCTCCTCCCATATCTCCCCATCACTTTTTTTCTGATAACTTCATGTGAACGTTTGTTTTTGCCCAAGCGTTATCTACATAGCACATTGTAATTAAAAGTACCAGACTGGTGGAACTAACCTTCTTGGATATTTAACAGCCATACTTTGAGGCCTAAACTAATCTTGTCAGAGACTTAAAGGACAGTTTTTGCTCCTTGGCCTCCAAGATCAACTAAGTTCCAGGGGACTATGGAGCATCTCTCAAAATGTCCTGTAACTGTGGTGAGTCACCTGTCCTCTTGATCAAGGAGACTATGGAGACCCCACCAGATGGACTTGAACCAGTGTCTAGTCTACAAAGAGGAGGATCAACACAGAGGAAACATTTCCTCCATGCTTCCAAGTGAAACTGTTATAAAGTTGTTTTTTTTAAATTTTATTTATTATTATTTTATGTGTATGCATGTATTGCCTGCACGTAGGTAAGTGCACCCATGTCGGGCAATGCCCACGGAGGTCAGAAGAGGCTGTTGGATCCCCTGGGACTGTAGTTATGGACAGTTGTTAGCTACCGTATGGGTGCTGGGATTCAAACCCGGGTCTTCTGTAAGAACAGCCAGTGTTCTGAACTGCTTGCTGAGCCATCTCTCCAGCCCCCTGTTATAAAGTTTTTAATAAACCATTTGTTCACTCTGTTTTTTCACTTTAGAGAAAGTGTCTTCATTTGTAGTATACCTTAGCTATAAACAATTTTTATTGTAAACATTTTTAATCTTACTCTATATTCAGAGTATATGATGTTGTGGTATATGGAGATGTTTTCACACAAGCATATATGGTATGTTGAGCATACTCCCTCCATAGCCCTCCATTCCCTTTCTTTCCCTTCCCCAGTAGTCCCCTTCACTCCCTTAGACAGTTTCCATTTCTACTTTCATGCCACGTGTGTGTGTGTGTGTAAAAACCACATGACAGAAAATACATTATTTGTCATTCCGAGACTACTTAATTAGCTTGCTATGACCATCTTCAGTTTAATCCATATTCCTGCAAACTGTATAAATTTATTCTTTATGGCTGAAAAAAAATTGTGTGTACATTTACCTTACCTTATCCATTTCTCTGTTGTTGAACACCTAGGGTTTGTTCCATAACTATTGTGAGTAGTGCTGCAGTAAAAATTGATGTGTAAATATCTCTGTGATACGTTGACTTAGAGTTCCAGGAGTGGTATAGTTGGGTCATGTGGAAGGTGTACTTTTAGTTTTTAGAGGACCTTCATACTGAGTTACATTGCGGTTGGACTACTTTACATTCCCACTAGCAGTGTATAAGGGTTCCCTTTGGTCCACATCCTTACCAGCATTTGTTGTAACTTTGCTTTTTATGCCATCCTGACTGGGTTGAGATGAAATCTCAATGTAGTTTTAATTTACATCTATCTAATGACTAATGAGGTTAACATTGTTGTTTAAGCTTTTGAGTTCTTTTGTGTATTCTAGATATTAATCCTGTCAGAAGTATAGCTCACAAAGATTTTCTGTCATTCTGTAGGTCCAGTTCATTAGCTGTTTCCTTTCCTGTGAAGAAGCCTTTTAAATTCCTAACGTCCATTTGTCAATTGTTGGCATCATTTTCTGAGCAGATTGAAGTCCTTCTATTCAGAAAGGCTTTGCCTGTTTCTTTATTTTGAAGTGTGTCTCCTAGTTTTTCCTCTGACAGTTTCAGATCTTAGATTAAGGTCTTTTGATAACCAATCTGTAGTTTTTTTTTAATGTTTAAAAATTTATTTATTTTAGGGTTGGGCGTGGTGGCGCACATCTTTAATCCCAGCACTTGGGAGGCAGAGGCAGGCAGATCTCTGTGAGTTCAAGGCCAGCCTGGTCTACATAGTTCCAGGACAGCTGGGGCTAGAGGGATACCCTGTCTCAAAAAGACCAAAAAAAAATTATTTATTTTAAAATACTTTATTTATTACATTTATTTTATGTGTATGAGTGTATTGCTTGCATGTAGGTAAGTGCATCCTTGTCATGCAATTCCCACAGAGGTCAGAAGAGGATGTCGGATCCCCTGAAACTGGAGTTTTTAGCCATAGTTTTTAGCCACCATGTGGATGCTGGGAGTCAAATGTGTCATCTGGAAGAACAGCAAGTGTTCTTAACCACTGAGCCATCTCTCCAGCCCCATGTAGTTTATTTTTATACAGGTTGAGAAATAAGAATACAGTTTCATTTTTGTATGTGTGGATGTCCAGTTTCCCAGCACTATTTGTTGAAGAGGCTGTCTTTTCTCCAGTATATATTTTTGGCATTTTTGTCAAAAAAATGTGATTATAACTGTGTGAGTTTATGACTGGGTCCTCTATTCTGTTGATCTATATATGTGTTGCTGTACCAGTAAGTACCATGCTGGTTTTGTTACTGTGGCTTTTGGTATAACTTGAAATCAGGTAATGTCCATCATCATCATTGTCATCATCATCATCGCTTAGTCTTGCTTTGGCTATTTGGGGTCTTTGTGCTTCCATAAAAATTTTATGAATTATATCTCGGTCATTCTTTAGTTAATAGTTTTAAAGACCTACACCCTATTGAATTAGCAGACATACCAAATTAGTAGATACACCACAGTTTGTTTTAACAGATTGTTAGATTCATTGGGTGCAGTGGTAATTTCCTTTTTAAAAAAAATTTCCACACATTTTTGAAATTAAATATAATGTCACTGGATTTTTCCTTATTTTATATATATATATCCCCAAGATGTTTTGCTATCTTATTTTTTTTAAAAAAACTTTCTTTCTATGGAAAAGGAAATTTTATGTATGATGGTGTGGATTTTATAATATTTCTGTGCATATGGCTGTTGAGACATAGAACATGGAAATCAAAAGCTAAAGAATGAAGCTGTTCCACTAGCTAGAGCTAACATTCAGCCTAGTGAATTTAGTGTTAAGTATGGTCATATGGAGCCAACAGTCAAGAGTCAGAACTAGTAACTTTCTTCTGTCCTTTATTCTCCCAGCTTTCTGGGGGGGAAATGCCCTGTATTGCTCTCAACTGCTACAAGTAGTTGAAAACTTCTGCTAATGACTGGCCATTTTTACCTAGCATGGACATTTGTCAGGAAGCTATCTGACGTCAAAGAAGAGTCAACATCACAAAAAATTTAAAAGTAAAGACTATGATGAGTACAGTACCTACAGTGATGACAACTTTGGAAACTACAGCCAGGAAACAGATGAAGACTTTTCCAGTCAGCTGAAGCACTACAGACAATCTAAAGAGTCCTCAACTGGTAATTCATCATTTTCTAAAGAATCAGGGAAAAAACAGAGAAGTCAGCAGGGTAAGTTTGTAGTTAGTTGTTTTTGGAATGTGAGAAACATATATGCATAGAATAAATACTTAGAAATTTCTTAGTTCTTTCTCAAGATTATCTAATTCTTGTGATATCTAAATTCATTTTCCTTTATTCTATAGACTGAGGATAAAAATGTGCAGCCATTTCAATCTGTATATCTTAATATTTCAAATAGAAAGGTAATTCTAATATTTTAAATGTATATAGAAGTATAATAAAATACATCTTCCTTCTCTGCTTATTTAGTGTCAGTGTACTGTTATCCCTGTTATGCTAGGTATTACCTATTTTTTAGATTGATAAAGACAGACAATTGGGAAGCTATTCTTTAGTTAGGCTTCAAAATGTGGCAGTCATCTTTGCTGTGAAAATGGACATAGGTCTATGAACATCCTTTAAGAATGGAAATAACATAATTTAAAGAAAATTCTCCAGTGACCACCTGTTATCTGTTGGGGCATGGTCCTTGGGAGGCCATGGCAAGTTGTCAGCTGATGACTAACAGGTGAAGAAACTATGGGCCATATAAAGCTCAAATTAACCTTAGTGACCAACTTAACTAGTTCTGCTTTAAGAAAACTTGAGGGGGTGCTGGAGAGATGGCTCAGCGGTTAAGAACACTAACTGCTTGTAGAGGACCCGGGTTTGATTCCAAGCACCCACATGGTGACTACCAGTCCCAGGAGATCTGACACCCTCTTCTGAACTCTGTGGGCATTGCACAGTACTGGTGTACTTGCATGCAAGCAGGCAGTACACTCATACACATAAAATAAAAATAATAAATAAAATATTTTTTAAAAAACCTTGAGAAGCTGGAGAGATGGCTCAGTGTTTAAGAGCACTGACTCTTCCAGAGGACCTGGGTTTGGCAGCTAACAATCATCTGTGACTCCAGTTCCAGGGGATTTGATGCCGTCTTCTGGCCTCCATGGGCATTGCATGCACATGGTGCACTTATATACATACAGGCAATACATGCATACACATAAAATAAAGAAAAAGAAAAAGAAAAGGAAACTTTAGCAAGAGGGGGCTTAATGAATTAATGATCTACATATCTTGTATAACTTCCTTTTCATTGTCTTTGAATAGTCAGTTATGATCAAAGACAAAACACAATAATTTGATTCTCTACCACCTGTACATAATAATCACTAGCATTTGGGCATACATTTTTCCAGTTTTCTGCTCACTATTTTCAACAAAAAACTGTACATACTATTATAACTTATTTTTCTTCCTTGGCTATGAGTTGTATTTCAGTCATTCTTTAGTCAACAAATAGCTTTTAACACCTGCATTCATTTAAAAAATTATTTATTTAATAACCACATAATTAGAAGAAGCAGTTCATTACAACAACATTGACATAGTCAATAACAGTTTCCAGAGCTAAGATCTCTTTCAAAGTTGGCTATAATTTTTAGGCTCACAGTTGAATTAATACAGTTAAACAATATTGTACTCAGTATAAACCCTTTAAGACATAAAATTGAATGAGGTTTTAACCTTTAAAAAAGATCTCCATTTTATTTTTAAAACATACTGTTTCATAGAGAAAAACTCATTTTTAGTGCAACTAACACTTAGATGTTTGCACATGCATCTCTAAGCTCTATATATCTGATTATTACTAGTCACAGTTGGTTACTTTCTGAGATCTTGGCAACTGAGCATGGATATAAAGTCATCAGGTAGATTTCAGTGGTAATGTTTTTCACATGTACTAATTAACATGAAGCAAATTTTTATGCTTCTTCTTCAAATAGAACTCATTTTTTAAATTTACTGATTTTTTTGGTATGTATTTCATATAGAACATCCCAAACAATCTTATTCATCTATATACCCACATCCCAAGTGGCACCCTCCCATGCCCCACCCCGATCCCTCGCTGGAGCCCATATACCCTGTCATCCCTGTTACTGTCCACTGTGTTGTCAGTGCCCCCAGCCATTCCCCAGTGCTTATACATCCCCTGAGTCTAATCAGCCTATCTAGAGTTCCTTGTTTTAGGAAGATCAGCTCTTCCTCATCTAGCAGCAATTAGTTGCCAACATTCCTTTGGATAAGATTGGGGTCTGCTGTTCATTTTCCCAGTTCTATGCTGGCCACTCTCTGCCTGAGTTTGCATGGGACCACTATGCCATGGAATAATATGAACAGATTCCCAGGAGCTTGTAGGACTCTGTTTCCATATGGTCATGCCCATCCTCCCTGGCTCTTACAATCTCTCTGCTCCCTCTTCCTCAATGGTCCGTGAGCCTTGGGTGGATGAAGTTTAATAAAGGGGTCCATGGGGCTGGAGAGATGGCTGAATTAGATACAAGCTCCCAAATACTTTTGACATTTTTGGCTTTGGAACAGAGTGTATTGCTAACAGGCCCAAGAACATTTTGACTTTTAACCAAGAAACTGGCTGCATTTCTTTGGGGTCTTTTTACCCTAATTACCTAGCCAATTCCTACCTCCTATTCTTATCACACCATCCTCTGAAAGGGTTACCCAAATTGCCAATAGGGAATAGGGACGCCAATCGCTCTGGCTTCTTCCATGCTGAACAGGGATGCAGGGTGAGGCGATTGAAGCAGGGTAACTGGACCCTCACCTGAGTATCCAGCCACTCTTCCCAGCCAACTGGTTCAGCCTTGGAAGACAAAAGAAAAATGAGGAAGAGCCCAATAGAGGGATGCTTTTGGAAGCATTTGTCAAGAAATTCCAATGGACTCTCATATGCATATTTGAACTTCTCCTTCACATCTCCTATTCATGATTAAGGACTTTCTTCCCTTAGAGACAAGAGTTATGCAATTTAGGAGTCTTTTAGATAGACCCACTGAAGGGGTGCACATGGACTCTTAAAGAATTATATTGATCTAATCTTTGGTTATCATTTCCTTTTGGATGTTTAGGACCATGCAGTTGTCCCTGATAAACCAATTTATTTTTTACGCTTAAGGTCATTTGCTGGGCGTGGTGGAACATGCCTGTAGTCCCAGCACTTGAGAGGCAGAGGCAGGTGGATCTTTGTGAGTTCAAGGCCAGACTGGTCTACATAGTGAGTTCCGGACAGCTGGGGCTACAGGGAAACCCTGTTTCAAAAAGACCAAAAAAAAAAAAAAAAGGTTTTTTGAGGATCGTTTCTCAGGGATCACATGGGCTTAGGAGGAGCCCCTGGCTCCTTTCCTCTACCAGTTCCATCTATGTGAAGATAAGTCAAAGGTCCTGCTCGACCATAGATGGCTTCACTTGGAAGCGTGGAGGAAATGTTTCTGCTGTGTTGGCCCTCCTGGACACTGGTTCAAGTCCATCTGATGGGGTCTCCACAGCCTCCTTGATCAAGAGGACAGTTGTCTCACCACAGTTACAGGACATTTTGAGAGATGCTCTATTGTCCCCTGAAACTTTGTTGACCTTGGAGGGCAAGGAGCAAAAACTGTCCTTTAAGTCCTTCTGACCAAATTAGTATAGGCCTCAAAGTATGGCTGTTAAACATCCAAGAAGGTTAGTTCCACCAGTCTGGTACTTTGAATTACCATGTGCTATATAGATAAAGCTTGGGCAAAGACCAAACATTCTCATATATGTAAGAACTGTCTCAGTTCAAGCTACTTCCCTCGAAACTGTAAAGATTATTTTTGCCACCTTCCACATCCCCCAACCCCCCTATAAGAACTTCCTCAGCAGTCAGAAGGCTGCTGGTTGCCTTTCTCTCCCCAGCTGAGTTGCCAGCCACCAGCAATCCTAAGAAATAAACTTTGCTTTACTGGAGTCCTCCTATGTTTCCTGTGGCTATTCACTGCCGGGCTATTATCTAACAAGATAAACCTTGGCTAGACATATACTATACTATGTTCCTTGAGCTAGTTATGGGTATAATTTGTCAATAGTTTGCTGGACTAAAATGGTTCCCTCTTGTTTTTTTAAAACTAACTAGGCATTATTTATTGCTTGCATTGTCTAACCCTTCCACCATGGTTTCCCCATTTAAAGTGTTCCCATTTTACTCATTTCTACCTTAATAATACAGTTCTCCTATGATCCCACCTCTCTTGAGCTCCTTCTTTCCCTTTATCCCCAAGATTCCTTGTATAATCCTCCCTCCTTGCCTCCCCTTAAAGTAATCCCATTTTTATCCATATCTCCCTTATTAACACCTGTTTTCTACCATTCTTCTCTTTCAGATTCTTTTTCTTTACCTCCTTGGTTCCTTTTCATTATCCTGGTTCCTATAGTTATGTCTGGATACATACTCACTTATAAGGATTTG